CCCCCCGCCCGCCCCCATACTCAGGGATCAAGTGAAAGGGTAATGTTTTCTCTTTATCAGTGAAGAGTAATATCGCTTGAAAGTAAGGTTCGCCTTGAATGTGCCATGCCTCCTTCCCCAGCCTGGAGTAGGATCTGGGATCTGTGTTTGATGTGTACAGATTGCTTGCAGGACGGTGCTTCAGCCCTGGACTGCTGTCAGGTCAGCAGTTTGAAAGCACCAGCCATTCCGCGGGAAAAAGATGAGGCCTTCTACTCCCATAAAGAGTCAGTCTTTTTTTTTTTTCTCATCGTGTTATTGAGAGCTCTTATAGCTTTTTTTTCTTAATTATTTTATTGGGGGCTCATACAATTCTTATCACAGTCCATACATACATCCGTTTTGTCAAGTATATATGTACATTTGTTGCCCTCATCTTTCTCAAAACATTTCCTTCTACTTTAGCCCTTAATATCAGTTGCTCAGTTTCTCTCTCCCTCCTAACTCCCCCCTCCCTCACGACCCTTCATAATTCATAAATTATAGTTTTGTCATAAGTTACACTGTCCAACGTCTCCCTCCACCCTCTTCTCTGCTGTCCATCCCCCAGGGAGGAGGCTATACTTAGATTCTTGTAATTGGTTCTCCCCTTCTAACCCACATTCCCTTCACCCTCCAGGCCTCGCCCCTCTCACCACTACTCCTGAAAGAGTCATCTATCCTGGATTCCCTGTGTTTCCACTTGCTATCTGTACAATGTACATCCTCTGGTCTAGCCAGATTTGCAAGGCAAAATTAGGATCATGATAATAGTGGGGGGGAGGAAGCATTTAAGAACTAGAGGAAAGTTATATATTTCATCGTTGCTACCCTGCACCCTGATTGGCTCATCTCCTCCCCACAACCCCTCAGCAAGGGAGTGTTCAGTTGCCCACCGATGGACTCTGAGTCTCCACTCTACACTCATCCACCTTTACAATGACATGATTTATTGTTCCTTGATGCCTGACACCCGATCCCTTCGATAGCTCGTGGTCACACATGCTGGTGTGCTTCTTCCATGTGGGCTTTGTTTCTACTGAGCTAGTTAGCCGCTGGTTTATCTTCAAGCCTTTTAAGACCCCAGACGCTATATCTTTTGATAGCCAGGCACCACCAGCTTTCTTCACCATCTTTGCCTATGCACACCTTTGTTTTCAGTGATCCTATCAGGAAGGTGGGTACCCACTGATCTGATTTTTAGTTTTTTGGTGTCTGATAACTGGTCCCTTCTGTATCTTGTGGTCAGACAGTCTGGTGTGCTTCTTCCATGTGGGCTTTGATGCTTCTCAGCTGGATGGCCGTTTGTTTACCTTCAAGCCTTTACGACCCCAGACGCTATATCTTTGGATAGTCAGGCACCATCAGCTTTCTTCACCGCCTTTGCTTATGTTCACATTTTTCTTCAGCAATTGTTTCGGGAAGGTATGCATCCTGGAATGCCAGTTTAATAGAACAATGTGTTACCTTGCAATGAGTAAGTGCTTGAGTGGAGGCCCAATGTCCATCTGCTGCCTTAATACTAAACCTATAGATATATGCACGTAGCTCTTGTAGCTTTTATCACAATCCATACACCCATCCGTTGTGTCAAGCACATTTGTACATGTTGCCATCAGCATTTTCAAAACATTTTCTTTCTACTTGAGCCCTTGGAATTAGCTCATTTCCCCCACCCCCTAGCCTCCTTTAAGAGTCACAGTCTTATAACCCCACAGGGGCAGTTCTGCCCCGCCTCCTCGTGTGGCTAGGAGTCGGCCTCCACTTGGTGGGGAGTTTGGTTTGGGAGGTATGGAGTTTGCAGGGTATATGGTTTGGACTATGCCTTCTCTTTCTTGTTAGGAGGCTAGAACTTGTTTCCTGATCGGTACCCCTGCCCTAACTGGTAGAGGATAACCCCTTGGAAGAGAGAATTGTCTGGGCTTAAATCAAACTTCACACAGACTTTGGAGATTTGGGGTGGCTGTTTTTCTGATGCCGCCCTGCTGCCCTCCTGGCCCTAGTGAACACCTTGTTCTCACCCCCTTCGGTAGGAGGACCTGTTCCAGACCCCAGGAATGCAGGAGGAATTGCAGCAGATCATTGAGTGCCTGGATACCAGCATTCCCGAGGCGATCCGTATCCTTTCCAGCACAGCTCTTTTGCCTAGGTTTCACGTCTCTGTTGCTCTGGTTTGATTGTCTTTCGTTCAAGGTCAGTGTTTGCAACCTCTATTCTTTGCATCACATGCTCAATCTAAGCAATCAAGAAGTAGGGAACAACGCGCCTTTCTACAGGAAGGACCCAAAGGCCAGCATAGCCAAGGACAGGGTCAAGGCTAGAGAGAGTCCTGCTGGCGAGCTTATAGGATGGAGCCAGTGTGAGGGAGTCTTCTGCAGGCAAAAGGAGGGAAAATGGAGTGGAAAGATGATGGAAGGCCCCTGGTAAGCCTCCTGCCTCTGAAATTGGGCCAGACCTCCTCAGAGCATCTGATGGGGTCTGTAACCACTCTGGAGGGGTCCAAGTGCAAGAGAAAAGCCACTCCTTAGGGAGTAGGAGGTAGGGGTGGCCGGGCCCATGTGCCACCACCTTTTCACTGGCACGCCTTTCCCTTGACTCTGGCCCACCCAGCTGGCAGCAACCACTCCGTGGCTGAAGCCCTGCTCATTTTCCTGGAGGCGCTGCCAGAGCCAATCATCTGCTATGAGCTGTATCAGCGATGCCTCGACTCAGCCCACGAGCCCCGGGTCTGCCGGCAGGTGGGCTTCATTCGTCACCCCGCTGCCACCACCGCTCCCAATCTAAGGGGGCCTGGGGCGGGTCTTCTCTTTTCCCCGTCTCACCCCCACAAAACTCAGGTATACAGAGCCAGGTCAGCTGCCAGCTCCTAGGTGGGCAGGTCTGGATCTGAGCCCTGTACAGGCGAGGGGCAAGTGTCTCCTATGAGATCGACTACCTGACCCGGCGGTCTCTTCCCGTGTTCAGGAAGCCTACTGGGGTGGAGTCCGCCCCTCTGGCTGGGGAGACAGGTGCAGCCGACTGCGCGGGCCACTTGGGCAGGCTGGGTGTTGCGCCCAAGCGTCTTGCTGTTGCTGTTTTTCTCTTTTTGGTCTCCATGTCACATAACTCCTGAAATAATTTTGATGCTTAATGGTCGAGAATGCCTAAGAACGCCATTTTGTCTACAAAAGGCAGACCTCACGGACCTACTTGTGAGGCAGGGTGTGCGTGTGAGTGTGTAAGGGCCACAAGGCCTGGTGAGGGGGGGAGGGTCCTTTGGCCGGTGTCACAAATCCTGAGGGGCACCCACAGATTGGTTGGGTCCTGTGGGGGCTGAATGACCACATTGGGTCATGGGAGCCCTCGGTTCCTCTGACTCCCTGCTACCCCCTCTCGTCCCCACTTCCTACCCCCCCCCTTCTTAAAACAGGTGATTTCGCAGCTGCCAAGATGCCATCGAAATGTGTTCCGCTACTTAATGGCATTCCTTCGAGAACTCTTAAAATTCTCTGAGTACAACAATGTCAGTGCCAACATGATCGGTAAGGTGATGGCTGGCGGGCAAGGGAGGGTGAGGGGTGTACTGGTCAAGGACAACCTGGGTGGATGCTGCCAAGTAGGTGCCATCTCATAGCTTCTTGGTGTGGTCAGAGCAGAACATCGCTCTGTGGTCCCTTCAAGGGCATTCACCATTTGTACCGATGAGGGACTCCACCAATGTGATCACTTCCCTCCTGCTGCCCTTGTCCCTGCCCCTCAGCCTGAAGTGTTGCTCCTGTAGTGTCTGACCAGGGCTTTTCCCCCTTTGCCATCTCTCACTCTCTAGCTACCCTCTTCACCAGCCTTCTCCTAAGGCCTCCTCCCAACCTTATGACCAGACAGCCTCCGAGCGACCGCCAGCGTGCCATCCAGTTCCTGCTGGGGTTCCTGCTGGGGAGCGACGAAGACTAATTCTCTTCCTCTTCCGGTTCGCCAAGATTCCAGAGCTGGAAGAACTTGGGCTCCTGGTTCTTCCAGATGGGGTGAAAAGCCATGCCACGCACAGGGTCTGCTGCAGAGGGCTCAGGCTGTGGGCATGGAAAGGTTTTTGTTAATGATGCAAAAGGACGCACGTGCCCTCACACTCCCTGTGCACCTTTGCCACAGCCAACCCAGCACACTCCTTCCAGACTTCGATTGCCAAGCCAAAGTTACCATATCTTGGTGTTTTTGTGTTTTCTCCTTATAAGGCCAGGAGCTCTGTATTTTGCACTCTTTCTTAGGGATGTGCTTGTTGCCCTCCAGCTCCATTGTCAGGATCACCTTTAGTGCCCTGGGATGACTCCCCACTCCCAGGCTCACAAGCTGGCTGTAGCTCAGACTTGTCTGTAATTCTTCATCTAAAGCACTTTGGCGCTCCGTCCCACCTCACTCCTTTGCACCCCGCTAGTACTGTTATTTTGAAGGACGTCTGGGTTAGGCTAGTGACAACTAGGGTGTCTCCCAGCAGTGAGTTCACTGCCTCCATGTGGTCGTTCCAGGAGTTTCTGGTTTGCACCACAGCTGCGTCTCCGTTCAGTTGGCCTTTGTGTTGACCAGCACCAAGTGGAGCCATAGCCTCTTTTCTCTGATCCCACTACGTAGCATAAGTGCAGGGACGATTAGAGAGAACTTCCCACTGATGGGAGAAAATTACAAGCAGAACGGAAGCTTTTTGAGTGTGTCACAGGGGAGACTAGTCACATCTGACAAGTCTTGCTTCCTCCTTGCCCTTTCCTGCCCCTCAGTGCAGAGCCTGGGTGTCCACAGAACCCACCTCCAGTGAGGATCCACCTTGTCCCTGCGGGAGCATCTGCACGCCAGCTTGTCTAGAGCTACTACTCCTCCCCAGAGCAGGGGGGTTGAGAGTGGCCCTACCCATCCTCTCACGATCTCATGAAGGAGCAGGGCTCAGAGGTAGCTCTCGCCCTCAGCGGAGTCATCTCTGAGTGTGACAGCCCGCTCCTACCATGAAAGGATTTGCAGACTGCCCTGGGGTCCCATAGCCACCTTGTCTAGCACTGTGGTAGCAGACTGAGGACAAGAAGCACCTTAGCTGTCCCACCTGAGACACCCCTCGGGGTTCTTTATTGAGTCCAGCTTGGCGGGGGGTGGGGGGGTCGGCCTTTACTAAATAAGATAGTCCCTGAGGGCCAATAAACAAGCCACTGGTCACAGGCAGCACACAACTGCCTGAGACGACGGGTGTCCTCTAATGGGCTCAGTCATTACCAGTTTACGGTCAACCCAAGGAGCACTTTGGGCAGGCTCTGGGCGTAGTCCCAGGCATTGGTTCCCCTACAGACGGGTGGGGGTGGGTAGTTCCCACTTAGGGCCCCCCCCATGTACCCACTCGCCCATTTCTCAAAAGTGGGCTCCGAGGGCCAGCTCATGCAGTGTCTGTGTTCATGCAGTGTTCTACCTAGAAGTTAGGGAGCCAGGACTTGTTATTGGCTGTCACATTGCTGGCCATGTGATGAGTCTAGGCCTGGGAGTTGAACTTAGTTCACGGACAACTGCAATCAGAAGAGCATTGCCATCGGCACTAGGCCAGAAAGTGAGCAGGAGAGGCAGATGATAGGTCAAGGTAGAGACACCACGGCAGAAAAGGGGCCTCGCTGGGGACCTGAGGCTTGCTGGCCAGGCTGCTGCCAGCCCAGGGTCTCGGAAGGCCTAGGGACAGGGCCGGCGTGGGCCATATGCAGCACGCGGGCAGCTGTCCACCCCCTTTGTGCATGAAAAGCACTACACTGCTTCACTGCCTCCTCTTCCTCCCCGTCTTTGGCCGAGGGATGTCTACAGGTGGGGCTTCTAGACAATCTCCAGGTGGGGGAGACCAGAAACAGAGCAGGACCCCAACCTCACATCCCTAAGTCACTGCCAGGGGTTCAGCCAGAGAGCCTCTTGCTAACAGGCCGAGAAGGACACTGTGCCGGTTGCTTTCCGGAAAGAGCTGGTTCCAACCCTAGGGATGAAGTCACCTCCCCACCCCTCCCTCTCACTCTTATCAGATTCTTCTCCTGTGACTGTTCTGTTGTCCCCACCTGTCGGTCACTACGCAGAGCTGCTAGTGGAATTCTGTATTTCGTGTCATCTTTTTTTATCATAATTTATTGCCATTTTATTTTCTGAATAAATATATGTTGTGTGGAAAGTGTGCCCCTGGTAAGGAAGAAGTCAGTCGGACGCTCTTGCCACTGGGTCTCTCTCACAGCAGCCCCGTAGGCCAGCGAACTGCTTCCGACAAAGTGGCAGGTCTCGGCCTACAGGCTCACTGAGGTGGAAGGGACTTGCTGGCAGGGGGCTGGGATTTTTAGAGACAGAAAAGAAGCCATGCATTTTTCAGACCCCAGTAAAGATAGTATATCCTTATAAGGAATGGGTCCTGTTAGAGGAATAGAGGAAAAGATATTCCCTCACCCCCACCCCGCAACAGTGTTATCGGCATAGAAGTCACATTTCATGCAATTCAAAGAGTTCGATCACATCAAGGAGAGTTGTACAGTCATCAACACGATCAGTTTTACAGCATTTTCTTCCATCTTGTACTTGTTGTTAGTTCCCTATTTCCCCCAACCTCCCCGGCCATACCCCTCCCAAGAAACCATTAATCCAATTACTGTCTCTAGAGATTTACCTATCCTGGATTTCATATACAGGAAAACATTTAAAAAAAACTAACAAGAGCAAAGGAAAACAGAAAAACCTCAATCGAAAAGAAAATCTATTCAAAACCAGAACAAATTTAAAATTGGTCAAAAGAGAGATCAGCTGACAGGGGGCTAAATCTTGATCTCACTGCACGTTCCAGTGCATTCTGCACGACAGCAAGGCCGCTCACGTCTCTGCTCCATGAGCAGAGGGCACTCGCCCGGGGCTTCATCCACCGGTATTTCCCCTTCACTTTGTGTGAGAACTGCAACAGCTTCACAGTGGGTCAAAAGGGAGAGGAGACTTCTTTTTCATGGGTGTCAATGTCCTACTGGTGAGAGCAATGGTCCCTCACCCCAGGGATCTGGCCCAAGACAGCCTCAGTAATTCAGACTCTTCCCAAAAGCACCTACCTTGCCATGATCCAATGGACAGTTTGGGACACCCAGATTGGAGCATGTACCACCTCGAATTGGGGAAGTTGGTTGTCTGTGTGGTTTTTGCATCAAATCTGAACTCTGGCCCTTTAAGAGGGAAGCCCTCATTTGCGCCCAGGGCCTTGGTTCCTGGCCAAACCCCTGCGAGCATGTGGGCTGTCTCTTCTCATGGAGGCCACAGCTGGGGAGGTTGCTGCTCAGCTGTGAGCTCGTCCCGGATGAACATGCTGGCAATGTGCTCATGAAGCTTTGCTAACCCCACCCAAAGTCTTGGCCGTGTCTCCTTGCTAGGGCCGTTTGCTCCCCAGTGGGTAAATGACGGCCAGCAGCTAGCTATTTGGCAAAGTATCTCGGGTTGCAGGGGAGTCCGTGGCAGGAAACCCGCTGTGGCCTTTGATGACAGCGCAAGTGGTTTTGGGTGTCGCTAAATAAGCTCAGGTCGCTCAGGTTAGTGAGACAGCTTGAAATTTAGTCCTGGTTACAATTTCCTTTTTTGTTACAAAGAAATTCTCCGAGCCTCCAAGCTGAAAGATGGCTACAATGGACACCCCACCCATTTAGCTAAGTTCACCAACTGGTAGGATTTCAGCATATTTGCTGCCTGTCATGTTGGCCCAGTTTTCGATCCAGACTGCTACATCGTAGCCACCTGCCACGCTGGACTAACTCAAACTTCCTGCCATCGAGTTGATGCTGACTCGTAGTTCTATCTTACAGAACAGGATAGAACTGCTCCTGTGGGTTTCTGAGACTGACTCTTCACAGGAGTTGAAAGCATTTTCTCCTGTGAAGCGGCTGGTGGATTTGAACAGCTGATCTTGTGGTTAGCACCCCAACGTGTAACTATGTTACCAGAGCTCCTTGACCTTGGACTTGCTGGCCTCTTAAGTCAATACCCCCACCCCCAGAACAGAATGGGATAATGCTGGTGTCCAAAGCATGACCTCACATTGCTTACTCAGGGGCTTCACAGCAACTAGACCTCACATCACCCCAAAACCCTGCACGGGGAGTCTCACATCTGAGTGCAGAAAAAGCACCTCAAAAGGTGGTTGCAGAACAGGTCCCACCCCCCACCCCCCAAAAGTCTGATTCTGGTCAGATATTGGGGTCTGCATTTTAAAGTAAGACAAGACCAGGGGAGTTGGATCACACACCCCTGGATGAGCACTACTGCCCTGAAGGGTCTACCCACTGCTGGTCATCTAAGCTGCCCCATAGTGATTCGGAAGGTAAGACCCTTGGGGTTCGTCATATAGTCTCCCAACAGCCAGACGGCCTGGGTTCAAGTCCCAGCTTGATTACTTACTAGAAGTGTGACCTTGGATAAGAGTAAATTGACCTCAGTGCTCCAGTGGCACTGAGAGCAAGGCATTTGGGCTGCTAGCTCAAGCATTCAAACTCTCCTACCATTCTCTGGGAGAAAGATGAGGCTGGCTGTTTCTGTAAAGATGGTCTCTGGAATCCTGTATAGAGTCACCAAGAGTTCAGAATCGACACGCTGGCAGTGTGTTAAAGCGAAATAACTGCTAACACCTTGCTCAGAGCTGTTGTGAGGGTGGAATGAGGAGGATGTTGAAAGGGCTGGGGAGAGCTTCCGGAACCTACGTGTTAATTGAATGACAGCTATGATCCTTATTCCCCCTAACACTTCCATTTTCCCCAAACCGCTTCAGACATGACCCGATGTTTCTCTCTCACTGTACTCCTCCCCTGACTTGGATAGCTACTACTCCCACACACAAGTTTAAATAGTTCGCATGTATGGAATTGCTGTTGTTCATTCCAGATGCTGTACTAACACAGCTACCATCACCTGTAGTCTCCCCTCAAGAAATATGAGGCTGTCTGCTCTCAGCAAGCCTAGGAAGCCCTACGGACCAGCTCTGCTCCGTCCCACAGGCTCACTAGGAAGGACTCCGAATCCACTCTGTGGTAGTGAGTTGAGTTGCTAGTCTTGACAAACCCACTGGGCAATTCTAACTCCCAGCGAAACTGTCGGACGAAGTAGGACTGCCCCACAGGGTTCCTACGCTGTCATCTTGATGGGAGCACATGGCCTCATCTTTCTTTTGCAGAGCAGTTGGTGGGTTTGACCCACTCACCTTCTGTTTAGCAGCTGAGTACTTTAACTACTGCATCAGCAGGGCTCCTTGTCCTCTTGGCAACAGCCTTATAAACAAACCATTGCCATGGAATCAACTGTAGAACAGCCCCTGCGGGTTTGAGGCAAACTCTGGGAGCAGACAGCTGCACCTTTTGTGGGTTTCAACTGCCCACCTTGTGATTAGGAGCCCCACTTAACCCGCCGTACCCCGAGGGCTCCTTACAACCTTCCGAAAAAGGACTACATTCCCACTTGTATGGGCGGGGGAGTCGGGTGGGGAGGCGGGGAAGACAGAGACGAACTTGTCTAAGATCACTTGGCAGTTGGTGGCAGCACCAGAATGTGAACCCAGAGCCAAAATCTGTGTTCACAGGGTTGAAGATTGGATACGCCCTTAAACTGCTGTCCCTAATGACACATATGTGCAATAAATGAAATTGATGTCCCTGAGCTGTATGTGTGAAACGCGTTGAAATGGCAAATGTTTTGTGCTACGCACACACACACACACACACACACACACAATCACTATCCTTCGTAGCTACATCCTAAGATTTCAAGTCAGCTAGATAACGTGCCTTCTGGGTGGTGCAAATGGTTAACATGTTTAGCTGCTCACCAAAAGGTTGGAAGTTCAAGTTCACCCAGTGGTGCCTTGGAAGGAAGGCCTGGCAATCTACTCCCTGAAACCCTGGCATGGGAAACCTACGGAGCACAGTTCATCAATGACACGCATGGGTTGCTAGGAGTGAGAACTGACTCCATAGCAACTGGTGTTGAAACAACCTGTCACTAGTGTGGATTGGATGTGCTGAGTCATTTGTGGCCCCCACCCTGCCTCTAATCAGCTTCCCATTGCAATGCAACCAATTTATTTAAGGCATCTACTCAGGGCGCCTGGCAAGGTTCTCGAGGAA